TCCTCGAAAACGTAAGAAATCAAGAAAACCCGACCTGAGAGCAACGTACCGAAGAGAATTGTGAGAAGAGAAAAAGGGGATATTTGAAGTTTATTTGTCCAACTTTTTTTTACAAAATAAAAGTGATGAACAGTCTTAGGTTGAAGTAGAACTCAAATTTAAACAGTGAAATCTTAAAGAGACTTAAAGTTTGATACAAGAGTCATCACCCAAAATCAGTTCTCCCATGGATGGGAATCATAGACCAAAGAACAACACCAGAGATGGATGCAGTTAGGAAAAAAGGAAAGAAGGAACGATTTAGCGAGTCGAGATATTTAACTGTAATGTAACTTACCGTCACAAACCGGGCAACATTGTCCTTCTACTTTACGAGGGTTTTCACATTCTGTACGACACATATGTTTTTCGCATATGGGTGTTCCATCTTCCGAGCAAGTGCACCTACAATAAAACATTTTCATTTACATTGTAGCCTCACTATCTGAGTAAGAACAGCTCACATGGTGCAATCATCCTTCTGCCAAGTTTCATTCTTTCTCTTCTTTTCCAATTTCTCCGTTTGGCATCCAACACAAACTGGACAGCATTCTCCATCTGGGATAACGATCCACGAGCATTGAGCTAAAATTACAACATTGCAAAATGTTGTTATTTTGGGACTGACGAAAACTCACGAGGCGTTTTTGGACAAGTCATCTTGCTGCAAACGGCTACTCCTTTCTTACATCGACAAACTTCACAGGATGATGTATGCCATTCCTCTCCATCTGAGTAAGTCTTTCCATCTCGTATGCAGGATTTTGACTGCAATACACTCATTAACTCTTAAATCACAGAAAACACTCAAATATTGACTACCAAAGGCTGTGGGTCGTCATCACAAGTCCACTCGTCGCAGCATCGTCCAGGTGTACCAGTGCCCTTCCGGATGATACGCAGCTTCTTGCCCTCATCACATACCGCTGGACGACATACGGCTGCTCGACAGCGACATCTGAATATCGAATTGAAAATGCGCAAAAGTAAGCACCATCAGAAAAACAGATTTACGCAGGACAGCGTCTAAACAATATTTGACAGTAAGGTTTTCAGGCTTATGAATGTAAGCTAGAAAAACGCGACCTTTATAAATAATGCATGATGACTCAAAGGCAAGGTAATGCTAGGGTAATGATGATTGAGTACAGATTTGAATATGGCAGCAAGCGGTATAAGGCACTAAGGGACTACCTACAACAACCCTGCATGAGTATGAGGTCAACAACGAGATTAAGTATTAAAACGAGTTGAAGGCAACTC